GTGAAAGTTTTTCTTTCTGCTTCATTGGTTTCCCAACCCAACTCCAAATGATTAGGTACTGACTCAAACAAACTGCCAGCTGATGGAGATGGAAATCTTTATTTCTTAGCCACATGTGATACTACTGACACTTTTCACTTCCAAAAAATACTTTTTCTTTGAAGAGGCAAAGGAGAGTAACCTTCCCAGGTCCATAAAGCTGACAGTAGTGTAGAGCTTTTAAGTAGGACTCTTACTCAAATAAATGGTGCATACCATGAAGACAGCAAAGCTAGCAAATAGCTCAGTACTGTCTTTTAAAGACCCAGAGGACTTAATAGAATATATTCTAATACTTTGAGGGTTATCTCCATTATACAAGTCTCTTGCTTACACTCTCCCAATATTACACTTAATTTAAGAAATGTATATTGTTGATAACTCTACTTGGCCAATACAATGCAACATGCATCCCACTGCAATATGATAACTATTTACCCTTTAAAAGACTTCTTTTCACTATAATCTGTGGAAGTAAAATTAATTTTGCAAATGTACTTTACTTTTGTAATCCAGTAGTTAAAACCAACAAGATTAACAAGAAGAATAACAACAGATTGCACTAATTAGGTAAGTGAAGAAGTGAAATATTCATGTTGTTGGGGAAGAGGGTTAATAGTATTTTTAAGCATACACAGGGATAAATTAGGAAATCTTCCTGAACAGAATAAAAACATACAACTGTGAGCTAAGGGACAACTGATAAGGTCTAACCAGGTGTCATTTCTGACGTGCTCCAGAAATCTCTGGAAAGAGGCAATTTCTCCTCTAAGACTGCTTACTTCCCTCCACTGACAATGATTCAAATCAAGCCAGCTTATTCAAAAGCATGTTTCTCAACTGAAAACCTTCTCCCCTCAAGGGACAATCATCAGTGAAGCTGATGTAATTCTCAAATCCAGACAAAGTCATTCAGTCTTTGGTCTAAATTCATATGCTACGCTTGAAACTGGGACAAACATGACAACAACAGAGAAAGTAAAATAGTTACTGAGGAGAAAGAATAAATTAGAATATAAATTGAAAATTGTTTCACAAAAAAACTGTTCTACATTAACTATGTTGTATACTGTGTAAATAGTACAACTATATATCCAAATATCAAAAAGTAAACATCAAGGTCCACACACCCATAACATAAATTTGTAGAAGGCTGACCCTGGTAAGCAATTTAGCACCCAGCAGCTCCTCTCTTGCTCAACCCTTCAGTGGGATGGAGGGATTAACAAAAAGAGCAAAAGTGAGAAAAAACTCATGAGTTGATATAAATAAAATACTTTTGATATAAAAAAAAGTGAAGGCAGATAGGAAAAAAAAGGACTCAAAGGTAACCATTCTTCAGCTACCACCAGCAGGCTGATGCTCAATCCATCTCTGAGAAACAGCCACACTGTACTCCTATTTTCACTACTGAGAATGACATCACAAACCTAAACCACAGCACCACACAGGCTGCTACAAAGAAATTTAACTCTATTGCAGCCAAGATAGCTATGGGATGTAAAATAGCCTCTGCATGAGGCAAAATCCTCTTGATAAAGAAGTAAATAATGCAGTTTCTCAGGCCGTGTTCTGTCTTAGTCTCCACAAAAATTATTGTATTCTCCTGTCTTCTTTCTCAAGCTTCCTCTGCTCTCTATTTAATCTATGCAATCCTTGACAGTACTTCTGAACTGAAATCAGATTTTGCAGAGAGATAGTTGAAATATGCTCCTCTAGATGCATCAAATTACCTTGGTAGCCAAGAGTTTACCCTGAAAGGCCTTTTCAGCATAAGTCACCATCATAAAAGCAGTGGGTATTGAACACTCTTTGAAATACATTCCAGAGGGTAATCTTCAATTTGAGAGTACTGCAGATGTAGGTTTGGGAAAAACTGGTTACACTTCACCAGAACACCTGTTTTTGTAAGCTGTTATTGTTAGGTAGGATGCTGTATTAAAAGCACATACACCTGGGCAGCACAGCATAATCCATACACAACTTGCTCACAAAGTATCTCAAACTGCATAATAGCCTAAGGCAGAAAATAGATTTAAAAGTATTTGGAATAAGGCTTCCAGCATGTAAATTAAGAAATACCAATTCTTTAAGTACTGCTTTACACAGTACTCTGAAGAAAAGCTAAATGTGATGTAAATATTAAGAAATATTATTATAATATCACAAAGTTATTCACCATAAAAGGATCTAGAGACATCATACAGATTCAGAAAAGCACTGGCTCATTCTAGGACAGAAGCCAAACTCTTCCATCATTCAGGTAAAATTTATGCAGCTTTTTCAGACCCACACTGACACCAGCTTTGAGTGGTTTTATTTTTATTCTTAAGGAAATGTTCTGCAAATAGCAGCATCATTACTTATGTTTATTCTCTTCATTTTGATAATGTGAGAGCACAAATCAGGATTGTATTTAGTGAAACTTGGCTCTAACACAGAGCCAATGACATCCAGTTTTGCAGTATATCTGCAGTTTGTGCAGTGCAAACACAGAAACAGCTCTCATATCTGTGGGCTCTAGCCATTACAAAAAGCCTTCTCTGAAAGGCTTTGTGTTAACTCGACATCTCTATACCTGGCCCTGCTTGCAATTAAAGAGTGAATAATAGCAGAGTGAAGAAAGGGTAGCCACTGAGAAAGGGAGGTTGGGACCATTTCAGCCTTTCAAGATGAGGCACAGGACTCTGAAAAGACTTGGTGTTACACTACAGCCATTGTGCCTTTTGCTGTTTGTTAGTTTAGTATATAAAGTAAGAGTCTCTTTCCAGAAATAAAATCCTCTGCTCAAAGAGACATTTTAACTGGAAAAGGGATACAATAATAAAAGCACAACTCTGAAGACACATGGGTATTTCAGTCCCTTGCCCCTTCCACAAAAACAGTCCTGAAGTTTTAATTTGCAGCCTTATCTCCCATCCTTCCAGCACATGACCTCACAGTCAGTCAGGGATGGACAGTCAAGGGCAGGCCTGGACCCTTGTACCAACTGTGCATAGCTCAAGTGTGGTGCCAACACCACAGCTAGAGTACAGAACCAGAAGCAAAGCCAGGATGGTTTGCCTGTTGAGGCAGCTTCACCGCTGGCAGGGAGAACCTCTTGGGGAGTGACCCAGCCTCCTGAGCTTTGCTCATGTGGGCACATCTTCCTAGTGTAACTTATTCCCATTAACTTCAACATGGGCAAATGTTCCTGGATCAGGAACATTTTTAAGTTACAATTTAATGCCCATAAATGTAATAAGAAATATTATTTTTATGTAAATAACATGTCTCAATTTTTTTATTTACTTATGCATGTTCTCTGAAAGAAGTTAAGCAGGTTCATAATTGCCACTCAGAACCAATGTAATTTTCCCATACAGAAACAATTGGGCCAAGAAATCTTCCCAAAAGATCATCATATTGAAATCAGGTACTGCACAAACTGGTAAATCCTCTTATAATAAGAACGCATCAGCCTCACATATGATAATCTACTGTGTCCTCATCAAACATTTCACCCTCAATGCTCATTAAAAAGTTTCTTTCCTCTTTTTGCTTATGGCATGCCTGGCAAGTTACACACAAAGCAACAGACTCTAAAGTGAGAGACATGGAGATCACCAAGAAAGTGTAATTCATTTTTTTTTGCTTTCATTCGGCAGAGTGACAATAGAGCCGCAGGTAAAAAAACCTCTTAAAGCCCCTAAATTCACCGTAACTCCATTGCTCCAGTGACTCCCTAAAATGGGGAATGGCTGATGAGTTCCTAGAACACAGATCCACAGCATAAGCCTCAGCAGTTTCCAGGGACTATGGGATAAAAAGCAGTTGATGTTACAAGTTACACAGCAGGTCCTGGGGTCAGATACCTCCTGGAGCATGATGGGGGGCAAGGGATTTGTTTCTGGAAGATTTTTACTTCTGCCTCTCAAAACCAGCTTACATCAGAAGGCTTACCATAAAAAATAAGTAGAGATGTATATAAAGCTGAATTAATTATATGCTCCTTTCCTGGAAACAACCACAAATTCTCAAATGGAAGCCTACAAATGAGCATTCCCACTGATGTTAATGCAGCTACTAACTCAAGCAAGCTCTGGGCATTAACTTCGGCAGAGTTCAGCCAAAGGAACAATCTTAAAAGGCCTCAGTTTATCCCATTTATTGTGCATCATCAGAGAATAATGCAGGTATTAGGTAGGACCACAGAGTACCTTAAACTACATTTCCTCACAGATGCTTGACTTTCAATGTAATCTGAACAGAACTGCTTACCAGTCAAAGCCCATTCTGCTGCCAGCACTTAAGCTTTATGGTGAGAATGGCCTGACAGCACACTGGTATTATGTGTTTACAGAATCAGGGTTCTCATGAGGCAGAGCAACAGTCAGCAACACTGGGAGACTGTGCAGAGGACTTTGGCTTTCACTGCTGGAGGGGGGAAGGCTTCCTTTTACCTGATGATGCTAGATTGTACAGATGATTCTCTTCTGATTAAGTAGCTTGTTGCTCTCTGATACCAATAGAGCAACTCAAATAATGACTATTTACTCAGTGTGACTAACAATACTAGAATCTAATCTATAGCATTTCTTACTTCCCGAGGAAAGAAAATAGGAATATGCAACACTGAAAAACAGAAACTAAATATTACACTAATAAGTGTTTCATATGGTTGAATTTAGATTGCCTAAGTATCTGAAAACCATGGGGAAAAAAGGGAAAATTTTCCTATGAAAATTTTGGAATGGAAGCATGTTTCTAGATCAAGACCTCAGCCATATTAACAGGTTACCTCCATGCTGATCAGATTTTTTTTACTTTCTTTTAAAGAACTTAATTGAAGAGATTATTTTAGTTAATCAACATCTAATTCATTGTATTGGATATGTCTATCCCTTTGACAGCTTTTGAATCAATAGACCCATCCCACAGTAATTTATACAGAAGTGCTAAGCCTGTGCACAAGGCATCACCTTCACAGTAGGCATTGTCCTCTCGAAGGGCTCGGAAGCCGTCTCGGCAGCTACAGACAGCTCTGTCCTCCAGGTTCCGGCACACAGAGTGCTCCACACAGTTATGTCCTTCAGTGCAGAAGTCATGGCCTGTACAGAAACAAGCACGATTGAGAGTTAAAAAGAATCCAGGAATTACAAAACATACCTGTCAAGGACAGTGCTATCTCTTTTTCAGTTATTTTTCCTCAGTTAGGTCAAAGAATACCTTTCTATTGTCTGTGAGATACAGAAAAACAAATTGTACCAAGCATGAAATGGATGAGAGGAGTAGTAAAGGCCACCAGAAAGGACTGTCTCTAGGTCTTCAATTCAATTTCAAGTTATAGCATTGATCTGAAGCAGCTGGATAGGAGGCTAGCTTAAATCCCCTTACTGTCTCCTTGTCATTGTTAATTACTTTCACAGGACATGTCTTAATTACATAGTTCTTGTCATTTTCTTTTTTTTTTGTTTGTTTGCACATGTATAAAAGACCTTAACAGCTTAGACACTCAGCAGCTCATTTACTAGTGATATTACTTTTAGCACTTTTAGTTCCTAAGTGTATTTGTAAAATCCTTCTATATTTAACCAAAAGTCTTTGATTAGCATTGACTTGTTTTGCTATACTCTCCTCTTATCTCTTCCCTTCCTCCACTAACTGAATACTCTTCCGTTATTACATCATTCTTTCCATTACAGAGAATTTTATTTTTAAATCTCACCTGTTAGCCATCCCTGCTTCCTATTTTCTTTTTTTTTTTTTTTCCTTTTTTTTTTCCATTGAGTGTTGCCATTTTACATTGTAGCTTAATTATAAATTTTTAAGACTATGAAGTTCTTTTCCAGGCTGGAAAATTTAGATGAGCCTTTCAACTCAGTAGGTTTGTTTTAAAATTTCTTCTGTTTACTCTCAAGAAATTTAATTATTTAATGTTGTTGAACAACATAAGCTGGTTCTAGAAACTGAGTTGAAGGTTTCACATTTTCCAGATCAGATATAAAGGGGTGGAGCTTGTCTCCTTCCCTGTTTTCTCATTAATTTTATTTGTTTCAAGTTTCCTTCTTTCACTGAAGCATTAATTTATCAAGCAGCAGCAGTGTTTTCCAACAATTACTTTCTTCTCTGAAAACCACAGGAGATCTTGGAAGTGTAGGCTAAGTTCAGGGGACAAGGATTGGAGTAACAGCAACAGCTCCAGAATGCAAGCTGGCATCAGACTACAACACAAGCCTCTTGCAAAATAGCAAAAAATATTTTTCAGCAGTAAAGATTAGTTTTATCATTCCACCTGGTTTCTGCTTCATATTTTGCTGTCAAAGAGCTTCTAACTCTAACCTCTCAGAAGCCTAGTTAAACAAGGACCCCAAGCAGGACAGTGGCAGCAGAGATGCTTGGAGGTCAGGTCAAAGAAGTCTTTCGCACTTGGACAGCTCAGGAACAGTGCGAAACAACAGGAATGAAGCAAAAGAAGACAAGGAAGCAGAAGATCCCATAGAGACAAAATGTTTTAGTACTGAGACCCAGTGACATGGTTATGATAGAAACATCACAGACCCATTGTGATATGACAGGCTAAAGCTTTTCTTCCCCCTGTTGTGGATTGTTTCTGCAAACTAAAGGAATGCTTAGGTAATGCTACTCAGACATCATCATCCACCACAGCTACCACAGTGATGGCATCTAACACAGGACATTAAGGAACAAAATATTCTACACTTTAACTGTGCAAGAGGGTCTCCAATACTCCTTGATGACAGCAGAAGCATGTGCATCAGATGCAACCTCTGGCCATGGCAACATCTACTTTTTACCTTTTTGCTGCCCTCCTCATGAATTCTGAGTTCATGGAAAAGCAAGAGGCTTATTTCTGGATTTCCTGGCCTGCACTGGATTGCATCAGATTTTGACATTAACTATGAAGATACATGTCATCCAGAAAGCGTGAAGGCTTTCATACTGATTATTAATGTTATTAAGATTCTCAACATTCATACAGCAGCTGCATTAATAAACAAAATACTTGCTACTGAATAATAGCCTACAGCAGCTTCTCATTTAAAGAATAAGCTCCTTGCCTCACGAGAAGCCAAGCTAGCATAGTTCAGGGAGGATTGAAAATATTCAGAAAGCACTCAACCAACATACATCAAAATTTTCTAGCTATACCAAGCACAAGAAACATAGAATCCTTTTCTCTAAGCTACTGAAAATTTTATAGAAAATCCTTTTGGACTGTGACAGACTTGAAGACCTATCTTCTCTTTAGTTCTTTTCTTCTACTTTCTTGTCCCTCTGCTTGATGTCATTAATCATATTCTTCATGTTTGTGCTGAGTAGCACAGAAATAACCATAGCTGCAATCTTCACTGATGTATACCTGAAATCAGTCCAAGAGCCTAACACACTCCTTCATGCCAGGTATCAATTTATCTTATTTAGCTGTAGAAGAAACAGATGTAGCCACTTGAAGATGCAAACGCTAATAGCTTTGAAGATACCCATGTTAGTCCAGATCAAAAGGGTGGGCCAAGGACTCAGAGCACTTCCTACATCTATCTCCTTTGGTAAGGATCACACTGGGTGGAGCACACAAAGGTGCACAGCACACAAAAATATTTCCCAAAGTTTCCGCTTATAGATGTAGACTATAACCCCAGAGAGGTGAACAAGTTACCCAAGTACCTGAAAACTGATTAGCACAAACAGTTCTCTGAGGAGTTATCTCAAAGCACCCCAGAAAGATGCTGGCAAACATTAATATTTCTCCAGTCCATTTAATTTGGAACCTGGAGTGGGTGAAGTGTAGAAAAATCATTAATTATATATATAATTTCTTAGACTCTCCACTCATTTTTGGCTGGAATAAAACACAAAAGCTTTTTCCACAGAACTTACATTACTAAACATTTTACAAACAATTTTCAGATGTTACAGTGCAGTTATTACCTATTCAGCTTCCCAAGATCTACAGTGACCATCATGCATAGGTGTTTCTTATTCAAAATTATCAGAAAAAAAAATCTATTTGTAATGTCTAAGAATGAAAAATTACACTGAGCTTACATATATCCTGCTATTACCTTACCTCTACAGACTTTGCAGCAACTTTGAGATAAGGGGATCTGTTGAGATTCTGGGCAGTTCAAAGCTGGACAGCTGCCTTTTGGAATTCGCTGCATTTTGTGGTCCTGTTAAATTGAGGTAATGGATTAATACTGTGAGATAGGAAATAAAGGAAGTTATAACTTTAGTGGAGTTTCACCATTGTAATGTACACAAACCCATGCCTAGGCCAAACTCCAGGTACCTTCAAAAACCATTTGAGAGGACAACACAGCACAATAAAAGGATCAGGAACTCTCCTATACTCAAACCTTTTCAAGCAAGCAGAAATGTGGCAACAACTGTCATTCTTCTCTTATCCTAGCTGTCAAGTAACTTGTCTCAGAAGTTTCTCTTAGCATTATGCCTGTAAGAGTTACAATTATTTCTCAAAAACTGAGGCAGCAGATTCCAGAGTCAAGGGTCCCTATAATGAATACTCTAAAGAAGCTTGTTATATACACAGCAAGTAAAATCAAACTTGAGCATCTCTGAACATACTGCTTTCAGTGGCAGCAACACTGAAAGAAACTGGCACCGAGTCCCTATTAGGAAAGGGAGGTTTTCATCAGGCATCTGGAAGTGTTCAACACCACAAGATGGTGCATAAGTATGTTCAGGCACTCCGTGCAGGTCACATGAAATTGCTGCAGTATGGCCACACAAAAAGCTTGCCTTAGCAACCTGGCTACCATGGGTGTACCACCTTTAGGCTCCCTCGGGCCATAAATAATGTGTCTTGAAGTGCTCTAGCCATGATAGGGCAAAGAAAGAAAACAAGGCAAACAACAGCATGTTCCTCAGAGGCATCTGCCATAAAAGAAGTGATGTGGTTAAATAAGGCTTCAGTGAACTCAGGACTATGCATTTCTGCATGCAAGAAAAACATCTACAGTAATGCATCTGCCATTGTATGTATGTGTGTAGTATTATTATTATATTGGTCTAGCATTTAATTTTACATCCTCTTTAAGCATGAAACATAAAGATGAACAGGTACACAATGGCCAATATCAAAATGACTGCTCAAACTTTACCTTAAACAATCTTGACAGAGAGACCAGCCCTAATCTTATAATACAATAAAGCAAACCAGACAGAGATGTGCTGTACACTAGAACAAACAAAACCCAGAAATCCCATAAGCTAAATTAACCTTTGATAGAAATAACATCAATTAAGGTAGTCTGTATTTCATTTTAATATTTTATAAATTCTAATTTGGAAGATAATTTTTCATTCACTTATTTATAATATTCAAACAGTGAAATGCATGTCTATAGCATGCACAACTGCAGCAGCCAATCAAAACAAAACATGAGGCTTTTAATTACATCCAGACAAAATGAAAAATTTCCATACATTGCCTTGGTAACATCATTATAATCTTTCAAGCATGACGCCAGTACCTGTGTCATTCCTATTAATACCTCTTGACTTGAAATCATTAATTATATCCTTTTATGAGAACTCCGGTAGTAATAAAATAATGCCCATCTATGAATTCCTAACTGACCAACAAAGTTTACAGATTTTATGCTCTGAATTATCATTCACAAGGCTGTTCAGCAGAAATTGTGCATACTTCAGTCCTTGAAAAAGCAAGATTTCAATCAGCTGCTTACTATTTCTACCAAGACAGTGTGTCAGCCTACCAGAAAACAATTCTAATCAACAAAACACAGACTAGCCAACAGAGCCATTTTTTTCCATACAGTATCACAATTGCCAGCTGCAAGGAACACAAGGCAATGTCACACAACTTTTGATCATTGTTAATTATATCCATTGACTAATCACAGAATTCATGTCCTGGGTGCCATGTTGAAAATACAAGCTCATAGCCCTAAAAAGCCTACAGCTGAATCCAAAATTATTTCTGGTCATCTTCTTCTTGCCATTCTCAAAAGGGTCTCAAAGGCCCTACTGCAGCAATTAAGCTCATAAAGATTAAAATCAACAGCAGTTAGACAAGAATTCCCAGTTCTTCTTTGTAAGATAGGCTTTAACAACTGTATTAAAATGTTTGAATTCCCAGAAACTGGTCTGATGGACTGCTGCATGGCGAGAAGGGAGAGGAGTTGCTCGCGTCTTTTCTCTGCCGAGAAATGTGTGTTCAGGTTTTCAACTCCAGCCCACAGCCTGCAGCTCTCTAACCAGACAGGATTTTTCTCCTCCCTCGCCTAGGAAGACAACACACAACTCACTGCAGCAGTGTAATTCTTAACCCTCAGCTGTGCCTGAGGTGTATTTTGCCCCTAAAGTATATTTCTGCCCTGAAAAGCAGCTTTATTCATCCAGCAGGGCAAGACTGACTCAGCATCAAGTATATTCTGTTTACAAATAAAAACCCCAAGCCTACCCCATTTCCATCACTAGAAATACCAGATACCTGGGGTACCAGCTCTTTTTTCTTCTTTTCCCCCCTAGCTTTTCCTCTAATGATCCTGAATTCCAAACTATGCCCCCATCACATCTGTGTATCTCTTACACCTGAGCACATAATTTTGAACAATAACACTGCAGATGGAACCATAGGTAATCCACTGTTGTTTCATTACTGATGGTGTGGACTATACCTAGGGAAAAAAGAATGCTGCTTGATTGTCAAGCTGTATCATCAAAGCTTGCAGCTATGCAAAGTAAATTTATTTGCAAAAATTTGATGTGGAACTCAGACAACATAAACATAGGACCTATCAGATGCCTTTTCTGTCACTTCCTAAGGTACACCTATCTATATTTCAAAAGCATGACTTTGATATTTCTAACATGCAAGAATTTTTATTCCATCAAGAGTATTCTTACCTTGCACTCAAAAAGAACACAGTCCCCTGAGCTTGAGTACACAGTTTCTCTTTGTCCTTCAAAGTAGGTTCTGCCTTCAAACACACACACCGCTTCAGAGAGAAAAAACAAAACAACACAACACAAATGATTTTTGTATAAATATGTTGGCACACTGCTTATAGAATTGATACATTTTCTTAAAGAGAACTGCATTTCAAAATGAAAAGACTGATTCAGCTGCAAGAATATTCTAAACCCATCTACAGGACTCCAGGATATCATAAGAAAAAAAAATTAGAGGCAAAAAAAAACCCCACAAAGTACCCAAAAGAGCACACGTAAGTAGAAAGGTGAAGGATGTTGAAGCAATATGGAGTACAGAAGTACAGAGAGCTACTGAGATGGCAGAAGAGAAGTGTCTCAGGTGACACCAAGAAAGGTGACTGCCTGCAACACAGCTCACGGGCGCACAGGAAAATGGAGCTGTGAGAGCACAGACAGTGGCATTAACACGTAATTAGTTTCTAGAAGAGGAATGTTGCATGATGGTGATCACTGAAGCCACATGTTTATTTGTTATCACAGTCCTTTAATGCTTCCTCACCCCACACAGTTATTTAAACATTACGGATTTGTATCTTGATTATCCCAGTTCTTTATCATTACTGCTAAGGCATATTAAATTATATGAATTTTATTGTACAGTAACTATTTTTGTGACTATCTTTTTTTTACCCCCCAACAAAAATAGGATCAAGTCTCCAACGATCAAATGACAGACAGATGTCATCAAGATTGGTGTTTGTCATACCATGGCCTTGGTGCCACTCCTGCACCCCAGCAGCACCAGGTTTTACAACAGCATGCTGACACACCTCCTACTGGATTGCTCACTAAAACTCCTATTCAGTATTTAAGACTTTCATAAAACATCTTCACACAAACTGTCTTGCCTTTTTTTTTTTAATGGGTCCATTACTGCAATTACATTATACAAAGTATAAAGGCTGAGTAAAGTAACTGCTAGAAAATCAGATGTCTGTCTCTGTTGCTTAGGACACAGTCAAGGCTCATCAAGTAAGCATAATCATGAAATAACAGGAGCAGGTTACAAGTTTCAAGTTCCAGTTTACATGTTAGAGGACTAATTTGCTAACAATTGATTTGGAGATAGAAATCAATTATACTTTCACAGAGAGATTTATCTATTCTGTTTAAATAGACTGCAATTTGTAGACAATTTAAAAATATCTAAAAGTATAAGACTTTATGTTTTATTTATTTTTTACTTTGAATTACCTATATTAATTAGCATTATTCCTTTTATTTTAATTTCTACTTTCCTTTTTTTATTTGCAGCTCTTTCTTATTACTTCGTCAGCATGCAAAAGTCAAAGTTTTGGAGCTGATGATGAAAAATAAGTGATGGGTATAGCAACAAATTGGGGTTTTGAAATTCAAAAATATTGGTTATAATTACATTATAAAATATAAATTATCTTGTGTGATATAAGCATCCAAAATGCTCTCAACTCACTAATCCCTTTTTACATTTTGTCTTCCCTGTACAGCTGTGGAGGGGAGTGAGAGAGCCACTTTGGCAGAGGTGCCTGGAGTCCAGCCAGGGTCAACCCACTACACGTAGAGTGTGTGTGACTCACAGAGAGTCATAGAAGCTCAATACTGCATCTCCTTCCTCTCCCCAAAACAAGCTCTTCTAGAAGGAAGTATGTGAAATAATTCTGCATAAATCTTTACCATGAACTAGCAGATCTGGAATCTAGGCAAGACACAGACCATCAACCAGTCATACATATCACCTCCTATGCATTACAGGCCATGACACTAAACTAAAATATTCAAATATGAAGCCCTTTCCCTTGCCCCATACATTTCAGTTTCTAAGAACAATTACATGTGACAGGAAAAAATGCAGTACAGCATTGCCCGAGGATCACACAATGGCAATGAACTGTTAACTTAACACATCCTCATGTTCCCAACTGGCAGATTATGACTGTTCACAGAAAAGGCAGAAGACATCAAAATCACTGTCATTCTATCTTACAAGAAAATATGCTCCTGAAGCCAAAATACTCTGAACATATGAGTGAGACTACCCAGGCATCTTAAAAGAAGTAAAACAAAGTAAAAAAAAAAAAAAAAAAGAAAAACAACAAACTACCTCAAAGCATAGTCCACAGAACCCAGCCTCCCAGCCTCCTTATTAATGGCAACAAACCTGATTCTTCAAAGAAACATAGAAAATAACACATACAGAAGAACCATCAAAAGAATACATCCAGCCTAGTGTGAAATCATAAAGCTATTTTTTTTATTTCACCAACAGGCTTTGGAAGTCTTTGCACATGAAACCATTCTAATGCAGTGACACAGTATCACAAACACTTGCTTTCAACGAGAAAATCAGCTCTTCTCCATAAAGCCTAGGAAACAAGAAAAACTTAGAAATTCTGAGTCTGTGAGAGATGGCTCTGCCCAGATGGCCCTTGACCCTTTCCCATCTCAAAGGTTAGAACATGGCAGCAGAGTGCATGATTCAAGCCTGTGTGGTTGCCAGAAATTTCCAGCATAGCTCACATGCCCACCTGCACAATCACAACACTTGGCCACCATGCAGCTAAGAAAATTTCATCTCATCCATTGAAGTCCCGTAAATAAACAATCCAAGCATTTTACTGCAGTTTTCCAACAAGGTTATAATGCCTCCAGGTATCAGGGACCTGTCTATATAGAATGACCAAACTATGTTTGATAAAAGAGAGAAAACCCAACAAACAATAAATGCCCAATTAAAAAAAAATAATTGAAACTGAATTGAAAAACTGTTAAGCTGAATAATCTAAGCACAAGCTTAAGCATGTCTTCTTATGGACTGCTGCTCTCAGTGACAGCATTCAAAAGAGGTATTTCTTCTTAAAACCATGGCTCCATGTTTACTTATCATGACAGACACTGGTTGGTTTAGTGATGGTGTAAGTTTGCCAGTGCACAGTGTCCTTTCTTCTCCCAGTGCTGCCACAAATGCCTTTTTCCCATTCTCTTGCCAGCCCACTCCTCTTTCCCTGCCCACTGAAGAGGCATCCTGACAAACAGGAAAGGGCAGATGCACATCAGGCTACCTGGAGGCTTCTAAAAGCTGATATTCTGGTTAGCTAAGTATTAAGCACACATGGGAAGATTTCTAGAAAGACAAATCTACTAACTTTTTTCTGCACCCCTTTCATCCTAAGACATTGGCACCCACACCCCAGGTAGTGTGGAACAGAATGTTCCTCCTGCCTCCTGACAGCAACTGTCACAATCAGTAAGCATCCTATGATGTTGGCGATTCCTGTCTTTATTTTCCTTCAGAAATAAAGATGTTTCAGCAACACGAACATCTGGGCTAGTACTGTGTAAATGGAAAAGGCCGGTGAAGATTTAATTTCTGCTTGGCTAGATGCTTCCCAGGATACCCTGATTAGTTTGTGGTTGGTACCTCTCTGGGGAAGCATATCATCCTTCATCTTCCTAAGTCTTTCATTCAAGAGACTGTCACAGTCAAGACATTACCTGATGATTAGCTGTTCCAGATCTTTAAAGTTATTGCCTATGTAGGATTTCATCTACACCTGAGTTACATCAACCATTTCCTCTTGCCATTAAATTTCCACATTCCCCCAGTACCTAAAAATAATATGTTGTTCAAAGCAGAGGTTTCTAAGAAGACTAAACAGGAAGCCTACAAACCTGCTTAGAAGTTTGACTACTCTTTATCTATTTGTATGCAAAAAAGTGATCAAATATTACACTGGTAAGCATCTGTGTACAGGGTCTAAAAAATTATTAGCAAGGTCTGCTTATATTTACACAGCTGTATTAATAATGCAACTATCCTTTAGTATTATTTAGCACATTGTGATGACATGGAATCTTCTCCATGTTCTTCCAGCAAAAGGAATCTTTCAGGAGTCCCCTCCAGCTGTGTTTGTTCAATTAATTACCAACAGTTTGTTAAACCATCCCTTCTCTTCGACAATCCTTCTTCCTACTGGCCTTCAAATGACACTTTACTTTTGTATTATTTTAAATGTCCTTGCAAAGTCCATGACCCAGCGAACTCCTGCTGTCCATTCACTGAGTTCTCAGATGTCAAGTAGAACATTTTCTCATTTCTGCATTTATCACCTTCACTGTCTAGATTGTGCATGCCTTCCCCTGAGAATACACATACACTTCCCTGTGGCATCTCAGCTACTTTGGATTCAGACTTATCACCAAGGGAAAGCAGAAAGTTCAGCACATTGGTCAACTCCTCAAACCACTTTAATTTCTTGTACTCACAACTGCCCAATGAGTGGCAGATAGGACTTGCAGTTTTGTGAAATTTGTCAGTAATTATGAATGGACAACCTAAAAAACAGTAATTAAGTCTATGTTGCTTCATTCTTTGTTCACTTATGTTAGTTGGTTGGGAGGGAGAAAACACACCCAAAATTATATCATACCAGAAAAACCCCCAAACCTGTCTCATTCACTTAGTTTTCCTACCTCCCCCTTGGAATCTCTTTGATTACGTTTTCTACTGTTCAGAGATGAAGGCCTAGGCATTGTGTAAGTCCCATTAATCCTACTTTGCAAGTTTACATAGCGCAAAACCACAGTGTGGCTCTATCCTTAGAAGAACAGAGATAATCACCACCTTCCCTGAATTTCTCTCTCTTGACAGCCATATCATTACTAAGCATGGCTCTCACCCTTTTCTCATTTATCTTTGGGATTTGGGCATTATGTATTCTTTGCTCATTTTCCGGAAAGCACAAACTCCTCTGTTGCTGCAGTCAGTGAGGCTGCAAACTTACTTCATTCCATGCCATCTCCCTCAACAATTCAAAATTATTCCAAATCTGAAACTGAAAAATATATTGCAAATTTTTCCAGTCAATCGCTAATGCAGCTGAAAAGCTGCATATAACTGCTTCCTCAGCTGAAAAAGAGTTTGAAATTTTATCATGACAAGGAAACAATTACTATTTGTCTCTTACTTCTTATTAGCTGGAAAAGCTAAATGTTTCTATTACATTTAAAATAAAAAGCCATTGTTCTATACCAGTCTCAGAATCACTCAAGAGTATCTACAGTGTGAGACACCAACAACACTAACAGGCTGTTTAGTCACAGTGGCAAGGAGTCAATCTGAAATGCTGAATTCCTTCCCCTACCTCTCATATTTCCTATATTTCCATCAACTGCTACCAGGAAATTACATAATTCATCTATCCTCTGTGGAGATGTTAAGAGGTCTTCTACAGGAATCATTTCAATCCTGGAATACAGGCTCCTTGAGTCATCCTTAAAGACTAAACAGGTAATCTGAGCTCTGAAAAAGCAGTGAAAACATGACTAAAAACTCTATTGACAGTAGTTCAGCTCAGGCAAATAGACCTAATAGATGAGTAAAACTTTTAAAGTAGGCTGCCAGACAGGAGAGTCTGGGAAAAAGGCTGCAGCCAATCAAACCCAATGCACACTAATTGCTCAAATGGAGGTATCTCTTGGTAAGCAAAGATTCTATCTGGACAGTGTTCGATGTCAGCTTCCCTTAAGAGGGCGTTACTGCTATTCACACTGCAACTTTAGCTTGGTTAAACAGAGCAGCCAAAACAGTTCTACTCAGTGACATGCAAAACTTTGGCTTTAGTGCAATGGACCATATTCTGCTTGTTAAAGAGAACTGGAGTATTTTGAACTATATACATAGTATTTTAAAAACTTGGGCATGCCTAATGTGAACAAAATGCCCACCCATTTTATGACAAATTCACTATATTCTCTACTGTTGACAATCCAATACCCAAACAACTTTCACAGCGAAATGTCAAAGTATAAAATCAAACACTTTAGACAAAAGCCTTAGAGGGTGTCAAGAGAGGAAAAGCAATTGAGGTTAATATTAATTAAATGACAACGGTATTACAATTATATTAAAGGTTTATAAATAGCACAACAATCTGACCAACCAAAAGAACTCCAGGGCAAAAATTACAGGCCTGCTTAATCCACATAAAGATGGGATTAGACATTATCTGATCAATTCCTTGTCAGCTATCCACAACACCAGTGACATAGCTTTATTTAGTGAAGGTGCTAATAGATATTTTATCAAATGCTGACAAGGAAATTTGTACTTTGTTCCACATTTTCTCAGCTGGACTGCTGGACTAGTTGTAAAAGATACTTTTCTGAAAACTTTGTTAAGAGAAAAATAGCAGAATTTAGAACTCTAGACACCTCCCAAGAGCACCTTATACTTCAAGACATGCTTAAATTCACCCATACATCCATCAGAATGTCTCAAGTCACAGGCATTCATATGCAAGATGAAATTAAATTAACTGATTTAGATGGAGTATTGAGAATTTATAAAATTAATGAAAAACTGCTAAAGACTTGCACACTTTTGAGTCAGTATCTTGAAATCTATGAGAGATAAACAGAACACCAATCAGCATTAATTTATTACATAAAAAGAGGCTTGTGTTCTCCATTGCCCTAAGTTAAAACCATCCATGGACATGACATGGGTGGGAAGACATGCACCTACGAGTATGTGAGCTGTGCTTACAAGGTGTAACTCTGCTCCCCAGATACATTTTCCCTTTGCCACCTGTTGGAAGTATTGCATTCATTAGGATATTTTGCCCAGATTCGCCATGAAGAAAAACAGTGCACCAATTATGTGTAATTTTAACAGACACATTTTTGCACACGACTACTGAGATGGTGGCTCTCTGCAGCTTTGTGAACACAAATCATGTGAACATGTTCAGTAGAAGGCAAGTGCCTCTGTGCGGTGGCATTTTCCCACATTTTGACAGCTTCATTTGACAGCATTAAAAAGCTCCTATGCAAACTACAAAACAACAAGCTTCACCACTATATAGTACAGTTGGCATTTATTAGGGTGAAAAAAACTTGGAAGTGCTGTTTCTATGCTCCCAAGTCAAAGGTTCCACACAGCTTCTGCCCAAAAAACTTACAGCAACCTCCAACAGTCATGGAGGATTTTGACCAAAACTTGCCATATTATTTAAGTACTCACAGACCATACTCGTATTTAAGAAACTGTATGGGATCCTACACATACTTTTCTTCTCAACCAGAATATCCTCGGTCCAGAACAGTTTCCACAGATGTTTTAGCTAAAAATTCTGCACTGCCACTTTGCTGCACACACCTCCCTAGTGAAGGCACAGCATCCTGTGACCTGGCATCCATCTCAAGGTATTTTTTCCTCTCAGATCCAAGTTCTTTCCCTTCTCCTACGAACAGCAGCCCCTGGTTAAGTTGGCTGTTACAGCAATACTCACGTTTGCCTTCTTGGCGCAGGCCAGTCTAATGTGCTCAGACATTCCCAGGAGCTGAGCACCACATCCATTGCTGTTGTTAGATCTCACTTCTTTCAAAGCACCTGCATCTAGCTCTGTACAGCAACTGACAGGGCTTCATGCTCCCAACTCTTCTTCCATCCACTTCTGTTCCCACATAAGGAATCTGCCAATCCTTCCATCCCTCCCTTCAGCCAGAATGACAGGATTAGTTGGCATAATCACAAACACTCCAGATAACTGCATTTAACATTCTTAAGCTAAGTCCTTGGCATTAGTTCAGCAAACGGTTTTTAACACAGACAGCAAATGTAAACACATTTTGGAAATCTTGATTAAAATTGGTTACGCAAACTGGCTTTCTAAATTTTTTATATACTCACTCCCAAGGTTCATTATCTAATAACATTTAACCAAAAACTAACATTAAAAAAATCAGGTACAAAACAATAGTTTGGAAATTTTCAAAAGACAGTTTCTAAAAGAAACCTATGTACATCTAACATGTTGTTTCCCAAGGCTCCTAGAAGTGACAATAATCCATTGTGCACTCTCTGTCGCCCTGATTTTGTAAGACTTTGTTAAGCCTTCTGATGTTTACATTCTTTCAACAAACTTTCTCACACACAGTTCTGTAAATAACCTATGTTTTGCATTCTTTCATGGAGGTGGAGAGAATTGATGGACCCTTGGTCTGTCCAGTGGCATTGGAGAGGTGGCACTGTCACCCTCCACCCCGCGGCCGGGCAGCCCGCCCCGCCCGGCAGAGGTGGTGCTCGCTGCCGCTTCTTGCGGCACGGGTCCAGCGCTCATCGGGGCTTTGCCCGCCCCCCTTGGGCCGGCCCACGCTGATGGCAGCCCGCCCCGCCCGGCAGAGGTGGTGCTCGCTGCCGCTTCTTGCGGCACGGGTCCAGCGCTCATCAGGGCTTTGCCCACCCCCCTTGGGCCGGCCCACGCTGACGTGACTCCATAGGCCGTGCCCCTCTCGGCACCCGGCCCCGCCCCCGTGTCAGGGGAGGGGGGCTCCACGCCGGTTTCACGATCTGTGCCAGCACCCGCACCCCCCGCAGAGCCCTCTGTCGGGGCTGCGGCGTGGCAGGGCGCTGATGTGTTTCATTTTATCGCGTCTGCTGATGCCGCCGGCGGGAGGCTGGTGACTCCTCGAGGCCGTGGTCACTCCTCGTCGGCTTTGTGGACGCTTCCTTCATGTCAGGTGACGGTGCGTCCGAAGGAACCTAGCCGTTTCTGGCGGGAAGTTAAAGCTACGACTGACGAGATGTGTGCTCCTGCATCTCCACGGCAGCTGCGGGA